CCTACTGATGCACGCTGCGATCTCAGCAGCCCCGGGGGGCCACGAGGCAGGCCCGGCCACGGTAGAATTCCAGACCACTCCGTGCTGACGCAGTCGGCAGCCCCGGCAAGAGAGAAGGCACTGCCCGCAGTACTCAGGACATCCTCGGCGCCTGCGCCCCCCCGCGAACGCGGCCGGCGGACTCGACGCTCGCGCCTTCCCCGACGGCCGAGGCGGCCAAAGGGTCGGGCCCGCGCGCCCGCGGGCGCCAGCCCGGCAGGGGCGCAGGCGGTCCTCAGGAGCAGCACCGTGCGCCCGCCCCACCGCCGTGGCGTGCCGCGCGCCGGCCCCGAAGCGAGCGCACGGCCCGGCGCTTCGGCGCCCATCGGCGGTGGACCAACCTCCCTTTCGCAAACCTCCCCTGAGTGAAAACGGCCCGGGGCCGACACCGACGGACCTGGACCCGCAAAAAGGACGGCCGCGACGCCCTCTCGCGAACCGAAAACGGCCAACTCACGGATCGACGTGTCCGGGTAGGAGGTCTGCCCCCCTCCGAGCCTCGGGGACCTGCTGACCCGGGTCAATCCAGACCCGGGTCAGTCAGGCCTTGCAGAGTCCTGCAAGATCCTGCAAAATCCTGCACCCAAACCCGGGTCAATGCGAAGGATCCTGCAGGATCCGGCAGGATCCTGCACCCAAACCCGGGTCAATGCGACCCTGGTCCTGCAGGATCCTGCAAGGTCGGGGCGCTCTGGCTGACCCCCGTTTGCACTGACCCCCGTCTCGAGGCTCCCGAGAGCCAAGGGGGCCCGCCCCTGCCGGCTCGCAGAGGGGCCCCCTCGCCCGCCGCCCGCACCCCGCGCGCGGCCCCCGTGCGGCCGCCACCGGGGGCGCCCCGCAGGGAGCGGAGGGGGCTCTCCCGGCCACGCAGGGCCTCGGCCACGAGGGGGCTCCCCGCGGCCCAGGCCCGAGGGATGCCCCCCCCCCCCCCTCCGCCCGGCTTCTTCGTTTGCCGAGGGTCTGGCAGAGCGATGCTTGCCCCCCCCCCCCCCCACCCCTCGCAGCGAGGCCCCAGGTGCGTGAGCCTTTGGCTCTACATGTGCCTCTATCCTGAGCCCTGCGCTGGAGAGGCGCAGAAATATTGTGGCTGGGCCCCGTCGTGGGCCCTCAGAGCCCGCCCGCGCTGCCCCCCCCCCCCCCCCGAAGCCCCGCCCCCCCAGCACGGTGGCGGATACGCACGGTACTGGATACAGTACTTTGGGGGAAAACAAACCTATCTCGCTTTTGACCACCCTCGCTTCCAAGAGATACCAAACGATGCCAAATTGCAGCCTGTACTGGTCGGGCCGCTTGACGAGGAGGCGCGTGGTATGGCTTGGTTTTGCCTGGAAGCGAAAGCGGGGTTGGTAACTCACGCTCTGTACTCCAGATTTCGTAGTAAAAGGGAGGGGGTCTGGACCCTCCAAGACAAGCCATTTCAGACCCCCCCCCCCGTGGGAGAACCCTCCAGAACATCGTCCCCAGACCCCCCCAGGCCCTCCAAGACAGCCTGGAAGAGACCCCCCCCCGAAACGAGACCCCCCTCCCTTTATTACGAAATCTGGAGTACCCCAGCCCTGCCCAGACCTGGCCTACAAACCAGCCCTCCGGAGACCATCCCGACCATTTCTTCCACACGGACTTCGCATCGGTTCGTTGGACCTGCCGCCTGTGGCTCCGACTCGCCACGGGTGGCCGGTGGATGACCTCGGCGCGCTGCTCGGTGGCGGCAAATGTTAGCCGACAAAAACATCCAGGACCAGATCCCTGGAGAGCACTGGGTCTCTGTGGCTCCTGGGCCGGGTGCTGCTTTGACGTGCCGCTCGCCTCGCCACGCGAGAACCGCCACGGGCGAGACATGAGTTGCCTCCTCCTCCTCCTCCTCCTCCTCCTCCTCCTCCTCCTGATCCTTCTCCTGCTCCCTTCCTCCTCCTCCTCCTCCTCCTCCTCCTCCTTCTCCTCCTCCTCCTCCTCCTCCTCACCCTCCTGGTCCGGTTGATCCTCCTGCTCCTCCTCCTCCTCTTTCTCCTGTTCCTCCTCGTGCTCAGCCTCCTGCACCTCCTCCTCCTCCTCCTCCTCTTCCTCCTCCTCATCCTCCCTCCTCCTCCTCCCTCCAACTCCTCCTCCTCCTCCTCCTCCTCCTCCTCCTCCTCCTCCTCCTCCTCCTCCTCCTCCTGTACATTCTCTTCCTTCTCTCCCTGTGCACCCGCTCCACAGTATGCACCTCTATACTGGCCCACTCTCTACGGCGGCTGGGCCCAGGACTGGGCGCAGTCCAGCATGGGGTAGCCCGACAGCAGGGCGTCCTTGGAACGGGATGCGTGGCGGTGGAGGACGATGAGGAGGGATAGTCGAAGAGACCGAGGATGGTATCCGGAGGGATTCGAAGAAGAGGAGCAAGGGGACGGGCGGGACGAAGGACAGGAGAAGGGAGGGGGAGGGGGAGCGGCAGAGTGACGAATGAGGGAGCCACTGATGGGGGAGTAAACGGCAGGGAGGTCGAAGGAATGACGGATGGATGGATGGATTGATGGCGGCCTGTCGCGTCGCAGAGTCACATGCCCAAAACGAAGCCACACGTCCCACTCGCACAGCCTCATGTGCGCAGCACCACCGGGGGGCCACGCAAAGACATGGCAGACACGGGCTGGGGCCGTCCACGGGTGCGAAGGGGCCGGTCTCTGTGGCTGCCGCGCTGAGGCGGACAGAAGGGCGGATACCCAAGGCGGCATCGCAGCTCGCTCGAGCACTGCCTGCTGGCGCAGGCCATACCCCAATTGCCCCTGTACAGGGAGGGTTCCCCAGTAGGACTGCCCTGGCAGACGTATCGTCAAAAGCGGCACGGAGCAGAAGAAAGGAAGAAAACCTCGGAAGGGAAGCGAAGAAGGGAGAGGAGGGGTGGAGGGAGAGGGAACTAGGGGGAGGGCGGGAGGGGCAGAAGAAGGAGACGTGGATGGCGAATCCGAACGTGGGGGGGAGACAAGTAAGGAGAGGGAGGAGCGGGGGGGGAGGGGGCACGGAGGAGGCGGGACAGAGGAAGAAGAGTGAGGAGCGCCGTGTCCTTAATCACCTGATCCACGACTGCAGGGCCAGCAGGCGGCGCCTCTGTGATAAACGAAAGGGGGGCGCCCTGAATATGTGCTGCTGCCGCTGCACATCCTCCTTCTCCTCCCCCTACTCTTCCCCAACGCCTTTCTCATGCATGTGCTCCTTTCATCCCCACATTGTTCGCTACCTTCGTACCGTCCCTCCTCTGCCTCCCCCCTGTTCCTCCCTCCGCTTCTACCGTCAATTCCCTTCTACAATGAGCCGTGTGCAGTGTGTGATGCCTGGCAGCATAGGAGGGTGGATGAAGGTGCACAGAAGTCGCCCGGCAACGTAACGAACCCATCCGATCCGTTGGCAAATAGCATGGGCAAAAGGGCAACGTGCTCGCGGAGCTTTTCAGGGACCCGGCCTGCTGCGCCCTGGAAGCCTGCAGTCGCCCAGTCCCCCATCCCCCACGCCCTGCCTCAACCCTCCCAAACGTTAAGTCGGGCCTGTCCCCCTACAGGGGGATCTTGGACGAAAAAGTCGAACGATACTCCAAGTAAAATCAGAAATAGTGAAAGAATCGTCCCCAGACTACTTGTTGACTATTTTTGAATCTTCCTCCTGTAGAGGGACACGCCCGACTTCACCCTAACGCGTTGCCCCTGATCCCCCCCCTGCCATTGCCCTCGACGCCATGCCCGAGCCCATCCCCCCCCCTCCCCTCGGGGGCAGCGTTGGGGGGGGTGGGGCAGCTCAGGGTGGGGAGCATCGAGCCGGAGCCGGCGAGGCCTCGCCGACAGACCGGCGACGTGCCCACGATGGCGAATCCGTACGCTCCTGGGCGGAGGGGCGATCGGGCCCCCGTCGGCGGTCGTGGGGAGATCGGTTGGAGGTCCGTGCATCCCCCCTGAGCCGATAACCCCCATCGCTGCCCCTGACCCGAACGCTGCACCTGACCAGAGCAAGACAAAGTGGCATACACCCTGCGAAATGCTTAAGAAATCATGGGTTAAGAAATTCATAGTCTCAGAAATTGAATGTAACCCAGAACTTCTATCAAAATCTTGGGATTTACATTGAAAAATTAAGAATAATCGAGACTCTGGACGAAAACGTAGGTTTTCTTAAGCATCGCATAAGGTGTAAACATAGACTGTCCGAGCTCCGCGCGGATTTCTAAATTCGGCCGTGGGACCCCCTCCCCTGCGCGCGGAGCGCGCCAGGGGCGGCGCTGGAGGCGCCGCCAGGAGGGCACAGCGCCGATCCAAGAAATCCGCGCGGACCTCCGAGAGCTCATGCTCATGCTCATGGTTCCTTTTCGACTGACTCTCCCCCCCCAACGGGGGGGCGATGCGTGGAGGGGGGGGAGAGAAACGTGCATCCTTCGCGCCCCTTTTGGGCCCCAGGGGGCCCCTTTGAGGCACGAAAGGTGCACCTTTCCTCACCCTCCCATTCATCTGAGGCGAAGCCAGGACGAGGATAACATCGGGCGAGGACGAATCGAGACTCTCTGAGATCTGGCGGCTCTGGAGGATGTCTCGGGCGCCGCCGCCTTCTCAGAGCGTTCTGGAACGGATTTATCCTCGTCCTGGCCCCGTCCGATCATCAGCCCCCCATTACTAGAAGAAGAAACAATTGCATAAACATAAACTTTCGGCGCTCCGCGCGGAGCGCCGAAAGTGTATGTTTGTGGCGTTTTCCCCTTCTACAATAATTACGCGACCCCCCCCCTTCGGGGACGCACTGACCCGGGCCAATGCAAACCCGGGTCAGTCAGGCCCTGCAGGATCCTGCAAGCTTGCAGCTCCTGCGGGACCCTGCGCCCAAACTCGGGTCAGTGCGACCCTGGCCCTGCGGGACCCTGCGAGATTTGGCGCTCTGACTGACCCCCGCTTACAATGACCCCCGTCTCTGGCAGGAGAGACCGGAATCGAATCACTAAATCGGATCTGAGATCAAAAGGAATCGAATCGGCGACAACTGGCATACGAGACGGAAGAAAGTCGAGTCGGCGGGAATCGGTAGGCCAGCGTGCCTCCAACAAGAGATCGGAACCCACATCGGAACCCCAAGTCGAATCGAATCGGAAGCGAAGGCCGTCGAGATCGGATCGATTCGAATCGGAGGAATCGAAATAAGCCCGTCTCTCGGGCAGGACTTACCGGGGGAGTCATAAACGGGGGGTCAGAAACGGTCCCCTTTCGTGCCCCTTTCGGGCCCCTCCAGAGCACCAGGGGGCTCGATAAGGTACCGTGTGGGCACCCTCGCCACCCCCCCATTTATGACCCCCCCATTACGCGACGCCCAAGTCTCTGGAGAGCCCCGCCCCCCCCGGGGGCGGCGCGGGGCGCCGGCGCGGCCGTGGCGCCGGACGCGGAGGCCGGCACGGCGCCGACCTTGTAGGTGCCGAAGCCGAGGAGCGGTACGCGCACGCCAGCGAGCTGGAGGCGGAGGGAGGGGGGGCGGGGGGGGGGGGAGAGAGGGCGGTGGGGGAGGGAACCCTCCTGCCCCGCGCCTCCTCCTGCTCCCCTCCTCCTCCTCCTCCTCCTCCTCCTCCTCCTCCTCCTCCTCCTCCTCCTGCTCCTCCTCCTCCTCCTCCTCCTCCTCCTCCTCCTCCTCCTCCTCCTCCTTTGCCTCGACGGTGCGTGCTGCAGCTGAGCTCGCCCCCTTAGCTAGCAGCAGGAAGCTGCGAGGTAAGAGGCACGTGCGCAAACCAGGGCCACGAGATGTTCGGCGGTGGGCCGTTGCGGCTACAGGAGCGCCCTCGGTCGACTTCGTGGACGAAGCGCTGGCCGCAGCTCCGAGCTCTGCGCAGGGACGCTCCCCCCAAGAAATGGCACGCTCTGGAAGACTGGGGAGGGAGGGGGGGAGGGGAGGGAGGGGAGGGGAGGGGAGGGGAGGGGAGGGGAGGGGGGGGGAGGGGAGGGGGGGGGGGGGGAGAGGGAGGGGAGGGGAGGGCGGCCTGACCGACAGCACTCCGAGGTCCCTCGGGGCTCTGGCTGGAACCGAAGTGCGGCGGCCGGGGAGGTCTGGCGCTCGCACCTCTCTCGGTTGGCCACCCAGGAGGACAAGTGCTCTGATCCTGCGCACGAGGCCACCACCCCCCTTCTGCTGCGGCATGCGTCGGCGATGTGGGATTGCCAGGTTTCTCTTGGTCTGCTTCCACGTGCGTGGGCAACAGTTCGTGATCAGCTCAGCGCTCGCACGACGAGGCATAGATGTAAAGGCCCAGTTCCCGCTGTGGATCTAACATTGTAGCGGATAGGCTGGACAATGTCGGCGGCACACATCGCGGTTGACGACCTCAACAATCCCCACTCGCTCCTCCGTGTCTCTCCTTTCGAGCTCCGTGGCTTGCTGAGGCAAGGAATTTCGAGATGGCAAGCGACCCGTATCCTGCAGCACGTGCCCGAAGCGTTCGGCTTCGAGGTAGTGTGGATGAGAGGTCTGCGCCATGGTATCCTGAGCGTGTCTGGCGGGCAGCGCCAGGGTGCAGCCAGGTGCTTAGTTGGATGCGCCCTGTGGCCCCCTGCTCGCAAGGTCCAAGCCGGCATAGCGGAAGACCCCAGGTGTAACTTCTGTTCCTCTGGAGCCCGTGGGACCCTCGGTCACCAGTTTTCTGATTGCGAAGGAGTACTTGACTACTTGACTACCCTCGGAGCCAGAGGAATTCGTAACTTGAGGACGTCCTGGAGCTCAGGGCTGAGCCTCGGCAAAAGGGGAGGCTGTCTTGGGCGACCCCCACTGGGATTCGGTCGAGTTGGCCTGCGGTTTTCCTGTGGACCCGATCTCCCTCCCCCCTGAACCCCGAGGACAGCCCTGTCTGCTCCTGGGGCCGTGCCTGCGAGCCCTTTTGGGCGGCCCATGTTCACGGACGGCTCGGGGCTGTCTAACAACAGCCCCGAGCTGCGTCGGTGCGCATGGGCCGCGGTCGAGGAGGGCCCTGCTGGGCTTCCTGCTCGAGCGGCATGCGGGGCCCTCCCTGGGCGGGCGCAGTCTGTGCCCAGGGCCGAGCGTTACGCGATTCACCCAGCGCTCGGGCGCGGCGCCCCCGACGCCCGGGTAGTGTCCGATCACCTCAGCGCCGTGCACGGAGGCAGTCGTTGGGATCCCAGCCTTGCGGCGGGATCCTCGCCCACCGCCTCCACGTGGATGCATATGCCTGAGCTGCATCGCGGCTCGGACCCAAAGCCCAGCTTTGTGTGGGCCTCCGCACGCCGTGTGTGGGAGGATCTGGTGCAAGGCGGCGCCTTGGCTTTCAATACGATTGTTTGATCGGCAACTGCTGTGCGGACCTCTTCGCTCGGGTAAGCGCTGATTCCATGGCAGCTGCGCTTACCCTGGAGCTCGTCCAGATAGGCCAGCTAGCTTTCATCAAGCAAAATGTGATGGTTTAGCCCGTTTCGCTCAGGCTGTCGCTTGCCTGGCGGAAGGGAGCCACTCGACCCCACCCCAGCCTTCGATTCCGCGGGTTGTTGTGCCTGAGACAAGGTGGTCCTGTCGGAGCATGAGAATTTCCATTTCCCGTCGAATGGGGCAATGGAGATGCAAACAATGCAACCGTGCAGCCAGCACGGAGTTTTCGCTCCTGCAACTGCGGTCAGGCAATGGCCGAGGATGTGCTCCTTCGGACTTCATGCGGTGGCAAGCGTGCGTTTTTTTCCGTGAGCCTGGTTCCGAAGCCGTGCCCCTCGCCTCCCAATCGGTGCAGGTGGCCTTGAGAGCCGCGGGCGAGGTCCTGGGGCCCGTGGTCCAAGCTCTGCCTTCGCCTGGGGAGTCGGCCCGGAAACGATTCAGAACTTCAAAGCACGATATCGAGCAGGTCGGTAATGCCGTGTTCTGCTCGAAATGCTCGGTGTTCTGTGTCATGCCTGTTGGTGATGCTCGTGGTTTGTTGGCTCCTTGTGAAGGGCGGAGCACCAACCCCAGCACCAAGGCTTCGCAGGTGTTCCAAACTAAGTATGCAGCCCGCGGCCTCTATCCCAAGACTGGGACTGCGATCCCTGATGGTCAGGACTTGTGTGTGTGTTTGTTTGTGTGCGTGTGTGCGTGTGTGTGTGTCTGTGAGTGTGTGAGTGTGAGTGTGAGTGTGAGATGGTGTGTGTGTGTGTGTGCGCGTGCGCGTGCGTGTGTGTGTGTGTGTGCGTGTGTGCGTGTGTGCGTGTGTGTGTGTGTGTGCGTGTGCGTGAGTGTGCGTGTGTGCGTGTGTGCGTGTGTGCGTGTGCGTGTGTGCGTGTGTGTGTGTGTGTGCGTGTGTGTGTGTGTGTGTGCGTATGTGTGCGCGTGCGCGCGCGGG